GTCCTGCCTTTGTAAAAAACTGCTAACTCATTAATGCAATATATCCTCTTTGTAGAACAGTTTCTGTCGAACAATCCAGAAACTGTTCTTCTACCTCATAAAACTGGAGAATATTTGGGTAAACTGCAAAACAGCTTCTCTTGAGTCAGGACTCCAGGAATTCATATACGCAATCTACTTTTTAATTTAAGAACCTGTATCTATGAGCGAAATAGTAGACATTTAAAACAGTTTTCTTAACGAAGGAACACCTCGTGCTGAAAAGAAACATGCTACAAAAAAAGCAGTATGTACCAAACACATCTGATGGAGGTTTTTCAGAGCTGTTTGCAGTGAGCTTGACATGTCTCCGTGCCCCACAGCAGCCGAAGAATTACAACAGTCTGGCATAGAGTCTTTTGGTACTTCAAGACATTGCTTGACTGCAGGATGGCATTTTTGTTGATAGAAGCTCACTAATGGGAACGGTATCTGAACATACCAAGGGACCTTTGAATGATGCTCCAGCCCCCTGGAGAAAAAAAAAGATATCTGGTTTATAGGGAATTTTCAATGTACAGTTGGAAACCACATCCTAAAAAAAAAAAAAAGGATTTTTTTTGCTTCCTGGCTGCAAGCCATAAAGCTTATAAAAGAAAATAAACATGTTCTTATGTCCAAGACTAATCACAGGAGCTCTCTAATCTCTCCAGCTGAAGATTTGTAAATAAATACCTTTATATAAAATAAAAGCATACAGAAAAATATTGGCTACCTGACACATTCCATCTCAGTTTGTGACAGCTATTACTGTTCACAAGAAGACTATATCCTGTTGCATTCAATGTTGGCCAAACATCATAGCAATTATTGGACTAGCACTTTCACATAACTAAGCATTTAGCCACAGCCATATTATTCATGTCTTGAAAAAATTAGGAATGAGCAAATGGGCCTGCCTATCCATCAGCTGTCTGTGTTGCTTTCCAGGATTTTCTGTTTTTCTGTTACAGGAGGATACTTCCCATCAGCTCAGTACGGCATTAGGCCACACAAGCTGTCATGGCTGATCTGTTGCTGTTAGAAAGCTCCATCTAAGCAAAAAAGTTGGCAAGCTCAGAAAACTGGACGTGTACTTCTACTAAAGATATAAACAAAGCTATGCCATACAAAGATTCCTATATGGTAAATGAGGACCTTCGATTGAAATAGACTTGGTTGCTTAGAGACACTCGTCCATTAAAATAGTATAGACATGATCTGTAAACACAATTTTCTTCATTTTTGTGATGCCCAACTCCAAAGCACCGGAATTCGCTGAGAAATGGAAGCGAAGAAACACATTTACTGTGAAGAAATATTGCAAAGAAGATTCCATTAATATTTGTGCAATTTTTCTATTTCATAATGATGAAGAGCATGATAGAGAAGGAAACTCTCCAATCATTGGATAAGCATAGGGTGGTTAGCAATAAACAGGAGTAATGAGAACAAAAAGCTGGGTTGAAGAGGTATTTCTGCATTTAAAAGGAAGATAGTATGTGTTGGTGCAACTAAATATTCCATTATAAATTTGGTGTTTTGTTATTAGCAATGTATGACATTCTTAATGTAAATTTTCAGCTGTGCAGCCTTATTACATACATTATACTGAACAAAATCATTACATTTCCACCCCATAAATGAAAAACAGTCATTTTTATAAAGTTAGTCCTTGTTCATTTAACAATCACTCACAGGCCACACTCGTGGACAAACCAAGCAGTTTTGCAGGATGCTGAGGCAAAACCAGAAGACTGGCATTTTTGGAGTTGATTGATGATTAAATATACCCAACCACAATCAAGATGCTAAGTGGCAAATATTTCCTCTACAGCTTTCTGTCATTTGGCTTCTTTTTGTTTCACCATAACTGAGTATGTGGAGCACTAGCTGTCCACCTTCAGCAGCAGACCCTTAGGAGCATCCTTAAATCCATCTGTGCACGGTCTGAGAACAGTAAATCTCAGCAGCATTAAACCTCCCAGCTCCACACAGAGCTCCACACAGAGCTGACCTTACGCACACCAGCAGCACAAGACACTGCCAAAGCTTGCTCCTCTGTTGCCCTGTGGATGGACACAGGACTCGGGAGCAAAAAACACTGTCCTTCATTACCACCAAATCTACACAGGTGCTGTTTCTTCAGCCATAATCTCTAGAAGCAAATGCACCGAGGTCTATACTTTCCGTTCCGCACTTTTTTGATTCCTCTAATGTGCATTTTATCACCCAGTGCTGAATATCTCGTTTCCTAGGACTGACTCTCCCGCCTCGTTCTTTTGCCAAAGAAATGTACAACTATCACTTTCAGTTCTGAAAAGGCAAGAAATTATATGCTAACTATGGCGACTTCAAAGCCTCTGAGCCCTTTATTTCACAGAGAACTTTCCGCTTGCTACAGAAGTCCACCAGACTGTGCCCAACACTACCAAGCGAGAACCAAAAACCCCTTCCACACCTCAGGAAGGACAGACAGGTCAGATGAAATTGCATCAGCTACACAACGGCAATGACTCATACAGGAGCAGTAAACTGAAATAGATGTGTACCTTAATGATTTCAAAGACGACTCTTTTTCAGGTTATGATCCCTTCTATTTTTGAGTCAGGTTTCCACCCCCCCTTAAAGTCTGTGCTAACTTATCCTACTCAGCTGGATATTAGAAAGCACAGGGAGGAAATATCAAGGTCTTGCCTCTATTGGTAGACTGACAACTTATAATTTCCTTCTCTTTTTTAAGTTCATGTACAAGGAAAATAGCCTTTACACCCAGATTTGAAAATTACTGATTTAATAGCATTTTACTTGCCATATATCTTCATTCATTCATATTAAATTGTTTGTGGCATAAGGAACCTCATCAGTACGTGCTTTTCTGTGTCAGATATCTCTGGCCTAAATATTTGCTTAAGGACAAGAACTCCAGTAAGCTTAGAGAGATTTAAAATATTTTCAGAGAATATATAATCAATTTTCTAAGTAATTTCTGGTTTCCCTATCACTTCTACTAAAATTTTCATCACTCTCCTGAAATGCCTTGGTCTGGAGATAGGCTCTGAAGCTGTCAGTTTCCACTGGCTTTTATTTTTAATTCAATAGGAAATAAGGTGACTTAGGTCTGTGCAGAAAAGCTGCAGCGTAGTAAAAACCACAGGAAGGTTTGTTAAGATCTTCCTTCACTTGTATCGATGAGAAAGGCAAAATTTTACAGAAGTGAAATTAAATGGAAACCAGAAAATATGAACAAGTATTGATGATGAACAACATCACCTTCCACTTAACAGTTCATCAGGCACAACTTCTTGATCTCAGAATATACTGGGGTGGGGTCTTTTCTTTTCTTTTCTTTTCTTTTCTTTTCTTTTCTTTTCTTTTCTTTTCTTTTCTTTTCTTTTTTCTTTTCTTTTCTTTTCCATGAGGAGTGGAGGCTAACGTATTTAGAGGGTTTACAATTACTGACCAAATGTTGCAGCTTCTTATTCCAGATTTCTAAGAACTCTATATCTCTATTAGCTAAAAAGATCACAGAGTAGCAGTGGAAGAATGGTAAAACTTATATTTTTCTCCCTCAGTTTTCAGGCACCTGGAAGCAGTAACAGGTTTTCCCCTAAAACAGATAATTTTCAAACGTTTTGCTAAGTGTTTGCAGTTGTTTTTCTATTTCTCTGACACAAAATGAGAGAATGCTACTTGGTAATACTGCAGTATTTTTAAGAGCAGAAGGTCTGACCTTTGTATTTCTACCTTAAAATTATGGGCAGGATGTTTCCTGTTACCTTCAGAGTCCAACTCCTTCAATCCACCCCTGGAAAGACACAAACAACAGCAAATATCCAAAATGAAGGTTTGTTGCAATTAACTGATGTAACTAACATTAGTATCAAAATCCTACAGGCAAAATTTACCTTCTTCCCCTTAATGTTTGTAAATCTCATATTGGATATTTGCACAGTAGAATTGTTGTAAATAACACGATTATACTAATTGATATTGCTTTGTAGTAATAATCTTAAAAGTCCAGCCAACACAGGTAGACTTCAAAATCATGTGTTTTGGAATATTATCGATTGCAGTAGCGCCAATAATGAGGTAGAGTCTTTCCAGATGCACTCCCTGAAGACCTTAAAATCTGAAAGGGAACAACAGGACACGACTGTGGGAAGGAAGAGAAGCAAGTTTGTAAAATTAATGATGACAATATTTCCACGTTTTTGTTAGTTTTTATATCACACAAACAATCTTCCCTTGCCCTTTCCCCTGTGACTGATAAACTGCCAAATCATACAGGCTTTGCTGTAATTCTTATTTCCTATAAGACACACACTAACAATTTAGTGATAAGTCAGAACTGATGCAATCACCGTACTAGAAACAGAAATTACATGAGGAAGTGGAAAATACAGTATTTTTAGACAGGTATTCAAAGTCTGAACTGGGTACCTAAGCACTATTTAAAAAACTTCCTCCCCAAAGGAATGTGTTTTGTGGATGGCAAGGCGTAAACAGAAAAGAAGGGCCAATATACACGTTAAACTCACCAAATGCAATTACAATTACTGTTTTGCATTACAGAAACACTAGTACTGATTTTTTTAAAAATTCTCAAAACAGTGAATTCTTATTATTTTAAAATTCTCAAAACATTAATTTTATTCCATTTATTTGACCTAAAATTTCAAACGCTGCAGACTGGCAGGTGAATGACAGTAACCTAGTTTACAAATGATACTAATTACAGAATTGTGAACCGTACTTTTCTGCACACTCAACTCGTCCAAATAATAATGGCAGTATAAAAGAGCTAGATGATGAAATCTTTAAATGCAGTGGCTGGTTTTGCCTGTAAGCAGTCCAGCGTGAAGCCAGCAGCCCTCACTTCACTCTGCTGGGGAGATGTACTACGTCGGTGAAGCATGCGTAAGAGCGATGCAGGGTGAACTTTTCACGTAACTATTTAATATCCACGGATGTGGCCTTACGAGCGGGTGTAGCGCGTTACCCTCTGCTCCAGCAGCCCGGACCTGAGCTGGAAGCAGCAACGCGAGCGTGCGCCTGCGGGTTCGGCGCCTGTGCCCCGGGTACTGCGCCCCCACTCCCCCACTGCCACAGCCCGCGGTGGAGCCGCTCTCCCTTTGCACCGATACCAAAGGAGACCCCACCTTTTTAACATCCTTCCTCTCTGCGACATTCATCACAGGGATCACAGATATTTATGCCAGTTAGTCGGCAATGTTAATCTGTTTTGCCACACAGTCACTGTCTATGTCTAACAGGGTGACTGATTCGTGGACCTAGCACAAGAGGGTAGGAGTTTCTGCTGATCTAGCATCAAGTACTAAAACTGCAACGAAAGATCATAGCATTTTTTGATGACACCTGATAACTAGGGGATTTCATAGCTTTAATGACAGCAGAAAAGAGTGCTAGACGAGAGATATGAGACACACTGAGGAACAGCATCACCTTACTAGAAACCTCCAGGTAATTATTTTTTTCTTATTTGAACTCAGATCCTTAGAGGACGATCCATTCACTGTAGGTTTGTGATCTGGCATGATAACAACCACATAGCTGCACACCAAAATACTGCAGCTCCACCTGCACCCATCTGTGATTGGAGCCTCTGCTCATAAATCAACTGCACTGACTGTAATAAGCATAAACTAGGTCAAGCTAAAAATGTCCACGGAAAGATAAAACGACAATAGTAAGTGAAAGGCATTTCACAATCTTGCATCTTAGAGAAAAATAATTTGGGTAATAAATTTTAAGAGAAAGGCTGACATTTATTCACCATGTCTCTTCTTTCTTTCTTTTTGTCCTGGGATGCCTATATTGCTTACTGCTTCTAAAATGTCTCATATGAGTATTAAATATTTCAGAGTTTGCTTCACGTCATATCACTAACAGGATGATTGGGAGGTAATGTATGGTGGGGAAGGACTGTGGTATCTGCTTATATTTTTAAAATTCAAAAGCAATTTTTTCAAAGTCTTCAGGCAACTCTATTTATTGCAACAGGTGTAATTTGGTGAGGGAGCTCTTGCCTGTCAGATTTAATTATCTTGCTTTTGCAGGGAGTTTTCCACATATATGTAATGGATCCAATACACTTCATGGGAACTTGTATGGAGATAAGCATTGTAAATGCACCAAGACATCTGAATTCAGCAAACTGCATACATGCTATTTTAATTCAAGTAAGGTACTAACAAGATTATCATGTACCTATGTCCTGGTTTCGGCTGGGATAGAGTTAATTTTCTTCCTAGTAGCTGGTACAGTGCTGGGTTTTGGATTTAGCATGAGAATAATGTTGATACACCGATGTTTTAGTTGTTGCTAGGTAGTGCTTACACTAGTCAAGGACTTTTCAGCTCCCCATGCTCTACTGACTGAGAAGGCTGGAGGAGCACAAGAAGCTGGGAGGGGGCACAGCCAGGACAGCTGACCCAAACTGGCCCAAGGGATATTCCATACCGTGTGACCATGTGACGTCATGCTCAGTACATAAACTGGGGGGAGTTGGCTGGGGGAGGGGTGACCGCTGCTCGGGGACTGGCTGGGCATCGGTCAGCAGGCAGTGAGCGATTGCATTGTGCATCATTTGCTTTGTATATGCTATTACTATTATTATTATTATTATTCCATTATTAAACTGTTCTTATCTCAACCCACGAGTTTTCTCACTTTTATTCTTCTGATTCCCTCCCCCATCCCACCGGGGCAGGGGGAGAGAGTGAGCGAGCAGCTGTGTGGTGCTCAGCTGCCGACTGAGGTTAAACCACGACAACCTAATACTCAGTTCAGGTTCCTATTCCACAAGCAGTTCTGCTCATGAGTATCTTCACGCATGGGCATCCCTGTTGCATCCTCAGGAGAGGAAGAATTTTCCAGGCTGGGAAATGCCCGCGGCCCGTACAGCAGCAGAGCAGTAACACAAAACAAAGGACAACCAACAAGAGTCTCCTTTCCATACATTATAAATAGGTGGCAAGGAAGATTCAGTCCCACCCTAAGTAAATGGCGGCAGGATGCAGCCCGCCGTGGCATCCGTCCCTCTGGCCGGTGCTGGCAGGACGTTAACAGGGGACCCCAGAGCTGCCCGAGCCTTTCCGCACAGCCACCACTTGCAGGCTGCGGGACAGACTCTGCCTGGGGGATTGCACTGATTTTCTGTCCCTGGGGTACGAGGAAGACGCTTTCATTCCGTTCCCAGGGACCTTGAAATGAAATGTTTTCTTTCCCTGTCGCCCGTGAAATGGCAAACGGTTTCACTCCCCCCTCAACCCACCGACCGGGTTGCCCTCCAGGAACGATGCGGCTTTTATTCCAAGCTGGCGTTTCGGCACAGGAAGCTCTGCTGAAGCAGCGCCGCAGAGCAGCGTCTCTGACACGGTTACGCTGCCCAGCCTCCCGTGCAGACAGGACTCGCCTGACACAGTGGTGACGATTTCCCCTGCAGCACGGCAGGGAAAATAACCTGTTGCTTCCCAGCCAAAGGTTTCCTCTGGCTGCCGTTGCTCTGTGCATCTAGGCATTTACTATGCAGTACAGCTTGTCTCGGCATAACCAGAAAACTCTTCTACTGTGTTTGCATTTTTTACTAGCTCAGAAGAGCTCTGTACGTCTAAACACTAAGGTTTCGTTAATATTTGTGGTATTCCATTTCCCCAAAATGGCCAATACTTGTTATTCTATACTCTTTGTCTAACAATCTATTGCTATTTCATGCTCTTTATAGAAAATCTTTCTCTGTAGAAAGAAAAATATTTTAAATTATATCTCCTTTATGGACCTGAGCTTTGACTCTGCCTTTTCTTGAAACCTTTATCGAACTCATGTGATACTTCCAGATTCCAGATATGCAGAAGTACCCTACCGCCTTCCAACGTCTCTCTTCCAGCGTCTCTCGTCATCAGCAGTCGGTCTGTCTACACCAGGCTGTCCCAAAGACAGGGCCTCATGTACTAAGAGGCAAAGAGGCGAAACACGAAAAAAACCCAAACCCACATATGTGAGAGGGTACTACAGGATCAGGCTCAAAACGTTATACATCCGAAACATGTGAAGCAACAAAAGCCCAACCGTGAGTCATTCCCGTTTTGCATCAGCTTGCTTTCAAATTGCTCCCTGTGGAATTTAACAGACATAATAGAAAATAATAGAATTGAAAAATGGGAACTATTTCCACATTGTGGGTTTTTCCCACAGTGGATACAATTTGAATTGCTAATTCACTGCCAGATGTGCAACCACAGACTCTGTGACAACCATCCTCTTCCTACGGTACTTAATTATTTCTTATTGTGACACACTGGGTATGCTACAGGATTATATTTAGCCCAGGTTGGAGGGCTTCCGTTTTTGTTTTTAATGAAAGAACGCTTAGAAATGGGTAAATTCAAACCTATGTGGCATAACATTTTAAATAATTTAAAAGGGTAACCTTCTGAGAAAAACTTCATTTATGAAAACATTAAAGGGGAACTCCCATCTCCAATAAAGCCTGTGGGAGTTCTTCATTGCTTTCACACCCTCCAGAGATTTTCTTTTCTTTTTAAAAAATCTACCAGCAGTTTTTAGTAAGTGGCCTTTGTGCAACTCTACCTCAGTCACAAAAGTTAAACCTAATTCCACAGTGCAATGACAGACGATATAGGAAGAATATGCAGAAAAATTGTTAGCAGGCAATATACTGTTTATGTCAATTGCTAAAAAACTACCCAGAACAGAATAACCTGTATAAACAAAGTATAAGAACTGGAAAAGGTACCAAAATTAATGACAAAAACACCAATTTGGGAAAAACTGGAGCATCATATTATCTGTGTCATCCTACTTGAAAGCTATCTTGTCATATCTGAAATAAGTATAGAGCATGTGCAAATAGGTATTATACCAATTTTAGTATCGGCATAGTTAATGATTTCCAAAACTGTAAGAGAACAAGTGATGCTAGTTTGGGCACTCTGAATTGAAAAGCCTAAAAACAAATGACGAACTGGGAGAACCACTTGGGATTCAGAGAAAACCCAGACCAAGCGCTGGCTGTGTGCACATCACTGGTCCACTCCAGAGAGGCTAACTCTGAGTAGGGTGAACGTGAGCTGAGCTGCACACGTGCTCTCGTGCCAGAGATGGTTTCCCCTGGCAATGCACACACAGCCCGTGCTCATCTAAGTGGGATTTTCAAAGCTGCTGGCGCTTTCCAAATCAACCTTTATTTCAAAATTATCGGTGAATTTTAGTTGGTCATCATGTATCACTTTTCTTTAGAGGAAGAAAAATGGGTTTTAGTGGAATGCAATTTAAAATAAACTTGATGCACATTAGGCTCCTCTGGCACGAAGCAACCTGTAAAGTCATACAAGAGATACTACTCAGTCTCACTGTCGTTCTCCTCTGTGAAGATGAAGTACTACCAACACATAACAGTATTACAATAAATCACTTGATTTTTGTTGGTCTCTGTCACACAGTAATCGTTACCAAAATGTGTAACAGGGCTTTGGGTTTTTTATCTTTCAGTCTATCTCTTCTTGAGTAGTAGAACAGATTTTGAATAGTAATAGTACCTGCGGAAATGTCCGGAAATGTCTGTATTTTGATTACTTGTACTCCTTGTTCAACTTTTGTTAGTATTTACTTTCATAGTTTATATTATTCCCAAGCACACACACAAGACCATGTGACTAAAATTCATATGACAACAAGTGGTTCCTGTGTCACACACAAAAGTGAACGTTAATACATATTTAAAAACCCTTTTTGAAATGTCCCCTGAAACCCAGCAACAAGCCAGACTGGGTGAAAAACAAGCAAGTCTCACACCTCTGAAAAGGGCACTACCCAATGAGGGGGTGGGTGTCCCCATCCCTGCCTTTTCACCTGGCAGCGCTGACTCTGGTCCTCCGAGAGCCACAGCCCACATCACCGCTTCCAGCGCTAGCAGGACCAAAGGACGTGAAGGGAACTCAGAGTTAAGCTCTTGATGATGTTGAAAGATGTGGCACTGGGGACCTGCTGGCCCTCGCAGCTGGCACCTGAATCCACCGCTCCTGTGGCGCTTCTTAGCAGACAGCTCTGAACCCAGTGCCTGAGACGGGAATGTTTATTCTTTCTTCCTCAGAGACCCTGCCTCGAGACCTAAAGCCTTGATAGACGAGATACGGACAATGCCTTACTGGTA